CTTTTTTTTTTTGTTTTGTAAATCTGTAGAATAACTGTCAAAAATCATATCTTCATCATCAATATAGGATGATCAGTATTCAAAGTTAGTTATTCATGATTTTTTATCATAATTTCCTGTTTAATATTAAGCATCATTATGATCTTAATTGAGAAAGTGCAATCAATCGAACTGAATGAACTATTTAGTAGTTTGAATCATTTTCAAGATGATGACGTCAAGTATAAGAGAATCTATTCGAAATATATTTCGTAATTTATCTTTCTTTTTTGCGTTGTACTTTATTATAAATGATATTCCTCTTTGAAAAATGTCTTACTTTTGTTTCTTATGTTATTTTTTTGGAACATTAATGTAGACATGATGTTCTTAGAAAAATTACAAGAAAAAACAATATGAAATTGACTTAAATAATTCAAATATCATAACTTTGTGAGTATTTATTGTCTGTCGAAGGCATAAAGAGGTGTTAATATATTGCAATAATATTTGATAATTAATTAAACACGTTTATATTCATAGATAAGAATCTTTGTGTGAAAAAATGATTTTTTTTTCTTATAAAAGCATAAGAACGTGAAAATTAAATTTCTTTTCTTTTTTCATTATTTATTTTCTATTGACGACAAAATGCCATAAGGTCGAAATGAATCCGATGTAGATAAAAGAATAATAATAATAATGAGAAAAAAAAGGCGAGAAATTTATTGCTTGAATAAAATAATGATTGATACTTATTCTAGTCGTTTGTCTTTGTCTTTTTTGATTTGCAATATATTGATACGTATATATGTTTGTATCTATGCGTTGGCGTTATCACTCCTCTTGTTAATTGTTTCTGTCGTTCGACAGAAACCTTGTCGACTATTTTTCTATGTGTCTATTCTCATCTAATCAAAAGAACTATTCATTCATCTATTCATTTATTGATCTAGTTTTCAGTACGGAGTCCTTCTATTTTCTACTGATAAAGGAAAGTCATCGGTTTATAATTGTTTTCGAGCAAGTTTTTTCTTTTTTTCTTGTACTTTTTTTTTCGATATGGCCTTCGATAGTTATTATTCATGTTATTCAATAAATATTTCCCATGATAATTTAAGTTGATAAATGATAGGGCGTGGTTTTCGTCTGAATTTCTAATATAAAATACAATTGATATATATTAAAATGACCTGTGTTTGTCTAATTTTCTCTTCAGGGGTTTATGATGCATATAAAATATCTGTAAATGATTGTGATTCTTTCAAAAGATCGTTTTGACACTTGATGTGTTGATAAGATGTATTTTTTTCCTATGATCTGCTTTTTTTTTGTCTATAAGGTATTATTCTTGTAAGAGAAACTAATATTTTCTATTTATATCAGTGCTTGAAGACAAGAAAATAAGAAAGAAATGGCAAAATTACGCCTGCCTTTTCGCCCATCTATCATCGTTTTATGATAGGTTTTATTTGATCATAAACTATGTTAATTGAACTAAGAAAATAGTGGAAAATAAAAACAAGACGAAGACGAAGACGAAGAAGAAGAAGCAGAAAAATAAACAGTTAACGGTACTTATTATTTAGTTTACTCAAATTTGATTTATTTTATTCTTTTATTTAATCGATAACATCTCTAGTTGGACAACATAGATGATTATGATTAAATTTGTTCTCAGTTATTATCATATATCTCTAGATAGTCTGTTTATTGTTTTTTTAGATATTGAGGTTGACGAACACAAGTGTAAACTCATCTATAATCCATATGTGCGATTAACAGTTGTCAGTTTACAGATGGAAAAACAGTATGTATCAAATATGCTGTTTTTTTTTTCTTCGAGGAATATGTATTTTAATGGGTTGAGCACATTATTGTTTATCTAATAAACTATCAGTACATTATTGAATGATATATGTATGTCTGCATATATAGAAGTAACTATCATTGACAGTAGATACTTCGGTTCCGACATTAATCATTGAAATTAATATTTTCTTCTAGTTTTCAGGAACTTCGAACATCACGTTTGAATCATTTACATTTCTTCATGTTTTTTTCTATATATACAGTGAAGACTAATCAAGGTGAATTGTACTATAGACAACAGAATTCTTTGTTTCGTTCTCTCTTTTTCTATCTTAGTTGATTCCATTTTTCTTATTAGTAAAATTTGTATTTTCATATTATAGATATTTTATTATATAATAATCTTGTTTTTTTTTTTCTTTCTATTTGGTGTATTAATCGAAATAGGCATGCAATTAGGTGTTCGTCGTATAGGATGCATATAATCGAATGATTGAATCATTATTTCAATTATCACCTGAAACAGGAAATAAGTTTCGCAGAACTTTTAAAAATAACTTTGTAATTGTATAAATCGTTCTCCTATTGCACCACTTTTTCTTCATAATAAATTTTTGATCTTTTTATGCGTCGAAAAAAAAGAGAAAAGAAAAAAAAACAGAAACTCAGGAGATAGTAGAACGGAAAGACATTCGTATTGGTATTCAAGGTTATTCTTTCTTATTGTTTGCATAATTATGTCGTATTTCCTATGAAAAAGTAATGTGACCATTCATAGATGCATTACTTGTCAACAGCATAGTATCATATTATATAGGAAATTATAGAATGTATAGATGAATATATTGGAATTTGAAAAAATAAATCAGAAGTAACATCTTTATAGTATACGCTCGATTAACTGTAACTAGTTTTGTATTTTTTATTTTCAAATAATTAGTAAATGATTGAATTTGACATGTATATGTATATATAAGATATTTGTTTGTCATGTCTGATTATTAGAATAAATATTGAACATTACATATCTTATATATGTCAATATTATTATCGATAAGCAACTTTTTGAACTTGCGCAGTTTCATAGTTGAACAGTAGCGTACTCCTTAATGACACAATGATACTTGTAGATGATACAAACAGATGTCAATAAATCTATTTTTGTAAAGGTAAATTTCGTCAATTTATTGATCATGTCATTGTGAATTACGCAGCTACTAAAATATGCAATTTTCTGAGTGTATTAATTAAAAATTATATCTATATTGATTTTTTTCAAAGGCTTTATTCATCTATAGTAATAATATTCTTGTGAAGAGTGGTCCGATTTTTGAAAAGATATTTCTTTAGTTAAAAATATCAAGCAAGACTTGAATAGCTCTTACTTATTTATGTAATTATAATCGAAGTTAATAAAAGAGAGCAAAAAAAATGTGAAAACATCATCTTAAGTGTTCTTATTCATTTTTTTTTCTATATATATAACGATCATTTGAAGAGTTTGTTTGCTAATCTTCAGGATCCATCGATCTTATTCATTGGTCTCTTTTTCTCCTTTCTTTTTCAGTTGACTACGTCACGCATATTTCTGATCAACACCAATTCCGGAAAATTGAACTCGAGAGTCGAGAATAACTTGCAAAAAAAAAAAAAAAAGAAAAAAGATCCACACCCCATATATATATACATAAATATATAAGATGGAACCAATGAGCCGTTATCTAATTGTTTTTTGTGATCGGGTGCACTAAATATAAATGAGAAAGAAGAAAAAAAACTACTCGTTGCAAACAAAAAAAAAAGAAGAGGAGCAAGAAAAAGATAAATTTACTGCTTGATCAAGTCTCAAAAGCTATAGAAAATGTACGTGATTGATCGAGAATGAACAGAATTCAGATCCGATTCCTTCGTTCTTTTTCTTTTGTATCGAAAGCAATCATCTCACCTTCTTACTTCCATAATAACAATAATAGTATGTTGGATCAAATTTCATCATATTACTCAGTTGTTATTACTGTAACTGTTAGTTGTATTCTCCTACGCAAAAGGCGAAGAAAACAGAAGCGCTTTTATTTGGTGCCTTTGTACTCGATCTCAACAGTTCTTTGTTTCTATCCTTTATATGTATTTGAGATGTTTTCATTATTATTATTATTATTATTATTATTATTATTTTCTGTTTTTTGCTTTTATCTTAGTTATTCATTGAAGTGAGTACCTGAAACGTTAAAATTAAGGAAGAACAAAAAAAAATGAAAATGAGTATAAACGCAATTAAGGCAAAATGTGACAGGTTATCGACGCTGATCATCTGATTATTTTTGTTTTTCAGCCAATATTCATAACTTATCAAAATTATCTAAATATATTAAATGAGCAGCAACGTGGATAAGAGCAACATATATATCATTTCTTCTCTTTTTCTCTCAATCACTTTACATTAATGACTACGCACATAAACTAAAACATACAAAATCGTCCTTCAATTCATTGCACCTCACTTCGTTAAGTACTCCATTTCTAATACAGGTATTTTTTAAGCTTCTTTTTTTTATTGACTGGCTCCTCTGATTATATTTGCACTAGCGGATAGATTGGAATGAATATTTATTGTATAGGATATAAGTTGCCTGTTGATTGAATTAGTAGCGCATCAGGATTATCTATACTAAATGACAGGCTATAAAAGGAAAAAAAAAGTAATTGTTTGGGTCGTCTGTCGATGGATCGTTAGATTTGTGACACTTGCGAAAGTAGTGCAAACTTTCGTAAACATAGAGATGTAAGAATAGACATAACATAGATGCGAGAAAACGATACATGATAATAAAAATACAAGAAAAAAAAGAAGAAGGAGAGAACGAAGAGAAAAATGTGAATACTATGATTTATATTATTAGACTATCCTGATGACTTTTACGCTCTTTATTGTTACTAAAGAAGAGAAACGAGAAGAAAAAAACTGAGACAACTTGTTAAAGGGAAGAGTTTTCCAATTAGAAAAAAAAAGAGAAAGAAAAAGCTTGTTCTAGCATGTAAGTATTGTGTAGGTCAAGAAAAATGAGCAGATTTCCATTTAACAATGTTTTCCGTTTTCATTATCATAGATAATTTTATATCTGAACATATTAACATTTAGATGATTTCTGTTGCATTTATATATATCGGTGATTTTTATTCATAAATTTTGCATATATATATATATTTCAATGTTTGGCTCTTTGGATATTTTGCCTACGGGCCTTAATTTAACATTAGATGAACAAGATGAACTTGTTAAAAGTGTTGTCAATTTTTTGGGACATCGTAGGAGAGATAAATTTGCTTTTCCATTACTTATAACACTTTATTCATTTATATTTGCAACTGGATTAACTGGAAACCTTTGTATGTTCGATTTATTTTTATAAGCAAAAATATAATGAAACAAATATATATTTTCTTTTGTGTCTTTTTTAAGGTACTTGTTTTATAATATGGAAAAGCCGTGACATGCACACTCCGACAAATTTTTATCTTTTTTCACTTGCTGTTTCTGATCTTTTATTAATTAGTCTTGGTAAGCATAAAATAAATTGATTATTCAAGCATAAAGAAAAAAAATTATTTTAAAATTCTAAAATAAAACCTTGTTTTGTTTTTCTATTAATAAAACTCTTTAGTTAAACTTTAATTATCTCAATCTTTCAATAGAATCTACTTGTCATCAACTATGAACAAAAAAATAAAATAAAATAAAATACGTTGTATTTCTTGAATCATATGACAGATATTCAAATTTAAATTGACCATTTTTCTGTGTTTAGTAAAAATCTTTCATGAAACCAAAAAAACACAAAATAGGAAATAAAAAGTTTTCTTCATGGATATATATTGAAGTTTGATACCTACAGTGAAAGTATTGTGTTTAGGATACCCTGTTGTGATCATGGCGTAAATCGTTTTAAGTACTTGAGAATTCGAATACTTATAAATGACATGCTCCTGGATGCTCGATTAGTTAATCTATCAAAACATTTCCAATGCAGACTGTCAGATCTTTATTCTAAGGAGCTCCATCAACTATCTTACTTCTCTCTTTAGGTACTCATGAGGTGAAAGAATTTTCAGCAGGGTATTCGACCGAATATTTGCAATATAATAGTAAAAGACTATTTTTTTCGAGTGCTCTGCTAAAATTACTCAGCAAACGGAAATCGTGAACTAAATACTTTAATTAGTATTGTCAATGTTTCAGATACACTTTTCTTCAAGAAAATTAATAATTCTAGTCAAATGATTCATTAAAAGTGTTACACACTTTTAATATCGTTTTATTTTTGTTGAAACGAAATAAATATTTCTAATGAGACATACAAAATTTACAATTATGAAACGCATCTAATCAATGTTTGATATCATATTAAAAGATGTTAATCTAAAGAATGTCTTAATTAATGTAATTAAAACGCATATTAAACTAGAAATAAATTTGACAAAACTAAATAAATAAAATATACTTTATTTTTTAATTATAGGCCTTTCAGTAGAAATGTACAACATATATGAATCATGGCCTTGGTAAATAATTATTTTTCAGAATATTAAAAAAAAAAACAAGATATGAACGTTTTTTTTTGTCTTTTGTTAATTAAGGATTTTTGGTGAAGCATTTTGTGTATTTCGTACAGTCGTACTTGAAATCGTTACATCAGCATCAATATTAACTGTTTTATGCTTCACAGTTGAACGTTATTTAGCTATTTGTTTTCCGATAATATCTCAAAAAGTACTTGGTGGTTTAAGTCGAGCATTAAAAATGATTATGATTGTTTGGTTTATATCATTCCTGCTTGCCGTTCCCTATACATTTACAGCTGGTGTTTTTGTTAGTGTAACCAGCGATATTCATAATGAAACAGTTCAAATTCTCGACAGTCGTATTTGTGCTATACGTCCAGATTATTGGGAGCCTATGCTATATTATATGGCAGTAACAACATTTCTTGTTTTTGTCATTCCAATATTTGTTATAACTGTACTTTATATATTAATGGGTATAACATTATATAAAGCAAGTCGTCGTCCGCCAAATGATCATCGTCATAAGAAAAATATTACAAAACCTGAACAAATATTATTGAATCAAAATGGTGAACATCATTTATGGTCACGACAAAGTACTATAGCAACAATTAAATCAAGATCAACAAAAAATCCAAGAAGAGCAGTACTCAAAATGCTTGGTGAGAAAAAAAAAACAAAAAGAGAACGAAAAAAAAAAGAGAAGAAGAACATTGAACTTTTATTTATTTCTATATTGTTTCTTCTTTTCTTTTAAATGAATAGTGGCAGTGGTTATTGCATTTTTTATCTGTTGGGCACCATTTCATACTCAACGCATAACTGCGTTTGTTACACGTTTATTGGATAAAGCAAATAAAAGTACAATATCGGATGCAGCAACTAAATTTCAAGAAATTCTCTTTTTTACCTCAGGTACAAAGTCTATTTAATATAGAATCTAATTAATATTAATATAAAATATGCATAGAAAAATTTCTATGAATAATGTTTATTTCGAAGAGATCCTACTGAGACATAACGGAAATAGTTATGAAGAATATTTATTTATCTCTTGACAATTATTAAAAAGCGAACTTTATACAAAAGCGGAAATAATTATTTCGGTTATCATATGTTCTTTACATTTTTTATACTTCTGTTAAATTTATCTTCGTCATAAACTGTCCCATATGTCTTGTCTCACACGCATATTAATTACTCATATAATGACACTATTGTGTAGAATATTAAAATTTATTTTGTTTTCAATCTTAATCAAAATTTTTTCTCCTAAATTCATAAAATAATATTAAGAATATTTTCAATTAAATAAAATCATAATAAAAATTTAAATATTTAATTTCAAATAGGTATTCTTTATTATTTATCTGCTACTGTTAATCCTGTATTATATAATATAATGTCAAAACGTTATCGAAATGGTTTTAAACGAACATTATGTCGTTGGACAGTTCCAACTCCATCAACATCATATAGAAATGCTCGTTCAAATGGTTATAATAATAATAATAATAATAATAATAATAGTCCCTTATCTCCAACATTAGCTTGTACAAATAATCTTCGTCATCAACGATTGACATATCCAAATAATAACGATAGAAAATCAGGAAAAATAAAAAATTCATTTTTCCGTCGTCATGATAATGTATTTACATTTTCAATGTCAAAATATAAATTTGTTATTGGTTCACGTACAAATGCTGGTCATACAGGTGTTCCTAATCGCTATCATCGTCGAACATCATTTCATTATCGTTTTTCTGCTGTTGAACAACAAGAACGTGAACTACAACAGCAACAACAATTACAACAACAATTACAACAAAAAAAATATTCGACAAGTCTTATACAACACCCAAAGAGGTATCAAGCAAAATTTATGCTAAAATCTGGTTTACCACTGCCAACAACACCACCAAATTCATCAATAAGTGAATCAAAAACTTTACCGTCATTGCCTAATGGGAATCATAGCAAGCATTAGTTGTGTGATAGAAAAAAAGAAAAGATTTGTTGTCACTACTATTTTTTTTTATAATTTATGTATATAAGATTAAAAAAACGGGTTATTATTTATGACAATATAGATTTGATGACTTTTTTTTTTATTTAATACATAAAGAAAAATTTGATTTTGTTTGCAAATTTTATGTGAGAATTTTTCGACAAAGAGAAACAATAGGATCATTGATTTTTATTTTTTTATTTACATTTCATAATGAGAAGAAACTAAAATAAAAATTTTTTAATCTGAAGATAAAACTATTCTATAGAATCCATATGAAAACAAAAAAAAAAGCTTGCTGTATTTGAAGACTTTTGCAGTACTTTGTGAAGAGAAACAAATTTCTTGTACGACTTGTTTTGACACTGATTAACTCATGTGCTCAAAAGCCACTTTACTAAAGAATGACGCAGAATAAATAATACTCATTCAATTTTCTAAATTTCTTCTTCATTCTTCACTTGATTAACACACTATATTTTTATCAAAATATTACACTTGAGATTGTCTACAAAACGACATATGATTGGATACAAAAAGAAAATGTGCAAAGTATATTTAGAAAGTGATAAAAAAAATATAAGCAGATGTAAAAAAAAAAAAAAAGAAGTAAATATCAGAAAAGCGATGAAATGTTAATAATTTATTATGATTTAGCAAGACGTGATTTCATTATAAGCAATTAAATTATGATTAATAACGCTCAATAATATTATCTTCATCAATCCATGTTTTCATGCAAAATTCGAATAAAAGCCTATATCTCGAAGGTGAAATGGCGCTTAGTTGAGAAGAAGCCGACGTCAACAAGAAAATTGACTACAGAAAATGGATATGTCAAGAAGAAACATGCTGAGAATATTACATCAAGACCTTCGCTGTTTCCCGTACAAGGAAACAAATCAATCAAAATTGATTAGTCTTCAAAATAAGACGAGGGCAAAGCTAGTAAATTCAATATTAAATAATTACAGCAAAGATTATAACAAAAACTGACTTTTTACTGATGAAAATATTTTTCAATTAGATGGTTGTCTACTATTCACAGAAAGATCGAGCGTAGACAGACAATAAAGAAGAGACAAATAGAAAATGTCGTGTACATGAAAAATCAAAATTTCCAGAAAAGGTGACAGAATATGTCCCCAAGAACTAACAGTACTGGTTATTTTGAAAGAAGGAACAATGGATGAAGCAAGATGCATCAAGAACATTCTTCCTGTAGATTTTAGATGCGGTTAGAAAAAACTGAACAACATTAGACGTTACACAGATCATCTGTATCAAAAATGATGCTCAAATCATTATCTTGCATTCATCTCGAAGAATGATTTCTGTTCATTGATGGAAGAAATAAAATGTTCTGACAAAAAAAAAAACAAGTTTGAAAAAGAAAAAAATTTATATTCAGTATATGATTTAATTGTATGATTAACGTTTCATAAAAACAAAAACGGAAGAAATTATATTCGTTCAATATAACTATTTTGTGCAGAATTTCAAGTGCTATATTTTGATTAAAAAAGGATGTTTCAATCAAGCAAAGATTATAGGAGAAATTTAGAAAATATAAAAAGTACAATTTGTTTTGTGTCATCATCCGTTAGTTGAAATAGTAAAAAGTAATCTAATTAGTAGATTGAACTATTATTAATATAAATTCAAACGTATGTCAACCGTTATTATTATAAAATAGAAGCTTGTTTAAAATGTCTAGCACAATGATCAGAACGTTATTAATCTCTTCTTTTTTTCTTCTATTACAATCCGTGACAATTTGCGAGACGTTTATCATAGTTCATGGAGTGCTTAGAGACAGTTGATATATTCAACTATTTATGTTTTCATTTCAGTATGCTGTGGTTAAGCATTACGGAGTTTCATTTTTTTGTTTTTACATTGTAAGAAATATTTCTTATCAATGCCAAAAGTAAATTCTTTGAAACTTTTATTGTAGATAGAGACTATTTAGGTCTGTTATCGGTGAAAATTTTATTGATTTTTCTTTAGCTCGAACTGAGCTATTCAGAAAATACTGGCCGTTACAGAATTTCACAACCAAGCAATGAAATTTTGTTAGCAGATGTTAGAGTTGAACATTTTACTATGAAATGAAGCAATATACAAATAAATTTTCTAAATAAAACTTGTTCAGTTTTTAATAAGCTTTCAGAATATTCGGTCACTTATTAACAAGCATTCAAAAATCGAATAACAAACTCAAAATACTGTTTGACATGGAATTTTATTGGTTTTCCGAAAATCGCAGCTTGGGACAAGATGAACCCAAAAATGTTCAATGTAACCAGATATTCATCAACAGCATCAAACATTGTATTTTTCACTCGAGAAAATAAAAGTGGAAGTTTTCATTAACTAAATCTTCGATTTTGTTCAGAATTTGATGCTAATTTCAAATATGTCCATACTTGTGAACGAAAACATTGTAGAACGCTTAATAGTCTAAGAATACTACAAAAATCGGACAGTAATGAAATGTCGTAAGGCAGTATTTCTAGAAAATGGATGCGAATATTAAATCAAGCTGTGCTCAAAACGGATGCAATTCGATAAAATTTGATGAGTTCTATTTCGAGACATTGCTTCATTTGCGAAAATTAATGACATACAGGAGCAAAATAAATTGTAAGAGAGTTTTGTTACGAAACTTCATCAAATATAGTAATGTCTTTTTTGAAAGTATTATCTTAGTTCGCAGACATTTAGCATTTTTATGAAGACTACATATTGAAAGAGTACTTTTTATTTAATGAAGAAACTTTTTTCTGCTGCTCGATTCTTGCTTGACGATGTATTCCACTATCCTCTTCTACATCAATTTTCGAATTGTTCACTCTAAGAAAGATTTCGCGCGTCTAGAGCATTCCATGCTGATCCGTAATATTAAGCACAGCCATTTCAAATACTCTCGATCGTTCTCGTTTCAACATTAGACTTAACTTTCTTTACTTTTAAGTTTGAATCTTGCCGATGTATGAGTGACCCATGGTTAGCTATACCACCGAATAGTAATTAAAAATTTTATTAATAATTTATTTGTTATTCTTAATTATTCATAATTACTCTATCTGTTTTTTTACCTCATGAAAATCAAAACAACCTCAACGAAATAATTTAAACAGTCGTATATCCTCCATCAATAACGATATTTGTTCCTGTCATAAATGAACATAGATCCGAAGCAAGAAAAACAGTCATATTTGCAACTTCTTGTGCATGAGCCAATCGTTTAATACATTTTCCTGCATGTAGTTCATCGAATTTTTCTTTCGTAAAACCGGTTTCAGCTGCTGTACGATATATTGTTGGTGATTCAACAGCACCTGGACTTATTGAATTAACTCGAATATTAAATGAACCAAGATCAAGTGCTAAATTTCGTGTCAATTGAATGATAGCAGCTTTCGATGTTGAGTAAGGTAAAAAAGTCGAATGAGCAACTAGTCCAGCAGTACTAGCAAAATTAATAATTGATCCGCTATTTTGTTTTTTAAGAATAGGTGCAATATATTTGACCATTAAAGCATAACCACGAACATTTATATTCATTATATGTGACCAATCATCAGCAGAAACATCTTCAACATACCCGAGTGTAAATGCAGCTGCTCTACAAATAAATAAATAAATAAAAGACAATGTAAAGATTAATTAGAGATAAATTATTTCAACAAACGTATTAATAAGAATATTTATTGTATTCCATTTGTTTAATGTTAATTCAATAGCTTTTTTGATTGTTTCTTCATCTTGTACATCGAGTTGAACTATAAGAATTCGATCATCTGTATTTTCGGAACCGAATGTTTCATTTTTCATTTTAATTATTGTATCAATATTCATATCAGCTAAGACAAGACGAGCTCCATGATCATAACATGTTTTAGCTATATGTCGTGCTATCCAACCAGCACCACCAGTTATAAAGACGACTTTATCAGAAAGTAATAAACGCCAATCACCCGTTGAATTGTTTTTAATTGACATTTTTTTATTTTAATTAAAAGAATCTATATGAGAAAAAAAGATAAAATATCCAATATTGATTGCTTTTCTATAATTAATCTATTGAGTCATCCTCAAGTATTCTGGAGACATTATTTCATTTTAACATATCTAATTAAGATTAATAGATAATATTGGACATTTATTATTAATAATAACATAATCAATAGAAAAAACAAGTAATTATGATTTTTTCAAGTAAAACTAAATTTAAATTTCTTACATATCAACTTGTATTTTCTATGCTCATTTCTCTCGTTTTTTTTGTATTATTGTTTGAAGACAACCATTGATAAACTAGTACGACATTCGGTTAACAAGTGAACTACAATGAATATGAGGTAATATTAAAAATGAGGTTCCTCACTATAAAAAAAAAAAAAGCTATTTCATTTCTTCATATTATACAATATCAGAATGATGAATTACTTTTTTTCTTTTATAGTAGAGAATACCAACTTTAATGTCACCATACCATAACAAGAAACATAGTGAAACATCTGCTAAACGAATACAAGTAATACTGCAATAATTATAAATAGATCCCAATTTAAAGGATTTTGCTTAAAAAAAGATATTCAAAATATCTGAAATAACTGATAAATAGATTTCAATAGATTCTATGATTGGCTACATATATAAATGGCATATTATTTTATCGCTTCATCAATTTTCTAATTTATTTTATGGACCAATGTCTCGTTAGATAGAACACATACAAACATTCACGCATAAAGAGAAGTCTATAGATAACTCGGAATAGAAAGTATAATTTTCTTCTTATTGATCGATTTTTTGTTCTGCTAATTAAACTCATAAAAGATACTATAAGTTGGTCAAAATGTTGAAATACAGCAAAGTATAGTAGAGTTTGATACCAGATCAGTTATTATATTGTCTTTGATCGTTTGTTTTTTCTTTTCTTTCATTTGATTGTAGAAAACCAATCAAATATAGAATTTTTTCCTCCATAACTTCACCTGTAAGATCTATTTTTGTGGCGCTTTCTGCTAATGTCTTTATAGTCAAATTTGATCGATAGTAAGTTGAACACGCATTTTAAAAAAATCTTTACATTCGTATTAACAGAATACTAACATTTAGAATAGTCAAAAACAAATAGAATTTCTTCTATTTGACCGATGAATATTTCGAATAATATCATCATCAATTTAGATAGTTTGTTCCCAAAAGAGTTTTTGAGTATTTCAACACAAAGACCCTACATAATAATTAGTCAAAAAATTATAATGCATCAAATTGATATAATCGTTATATTAATCGAATGTTTTTCTTTACTTTTTTGTTATCAAAGCTTGCTCTTCGAGGTATACCTGAAATAAAAAGAAAAAAGAGCATGACTTCTACTTTATTATTATTTAGCGAATCTAGCTCTTCCCCTCCTCCCCGCCCCCTCCCCCCGTCTTCCTCCTTCTCCTCAGCTATTGAAGTTGGTTGGTTAAAAAATGATAACTGCACATTTTGAAAAAGACAATGATATTTATCTACCTCCAGTGACGTCGAACAAAGGAAAAACAAAAAATACGATCCAACGAAGGTCAAGTAAACCAAGCATATATATATATATATATAAAAATAAAATTATATGAAATTGATAAGAAAAGAAAGTTGGTAAACTTGTTACTCTTATCTTTTTTCATATATTGTACTAATCATTGAGTCTCTTATTTCAATCTAAACAAATCAAAAATGTCTTCTACATCTGTTACAACTATAACTGGAATTACAGTAGATGATATTCGTTTTCCAACATCTAAACAACTCGATGGTAGTGATGCTATGTCACCTGATCCGTAAGATTTTCTATTTATTAAAAAGAATTAAAATTTTTCTCAATTTTAATTGATAGAGATTATTCATCAGCCTATGTAATTCTTCATACTGATAATCCATTACTTGAAGGTCATGGTCATTCATTTACAATTGGTCGTGGTACAGAAATTATTTGTGTTGCTATAAAAGCTCATACGCATTTACTTGTGGGTCATACACTTGAAGAATTTATTTCAAATCCTGGTGCTTTTTGGCGTCATTTAACAAATGATTCTCAACTTCGTTGGATTGGACCTGAAAAAGGTGCAATACATTTAGCTTTAGGTGCTATTGTTAATGCTCTTTGGGATTTATATGCTAAACGTGAAGGAAAACCATTATGGAGACTTGTATCAGATTTAACACCTGAACAATTTTTAAAATGTATTGATTTTCGTTATATATCTGATGCAATAACACCTGATGAAGCATTAAATATGTTAAAAGAACTTGAAACAACAAAATCTGAACGTATAAAACAACTTGAAGAACAAGGTTATCCAGCTTATACAACATCTGCTGGTTGGTTAGGTTATTCTGATGAAAAAATTCAACGTTTATGTCGAGAAGCTATTAATGAAGGTTTTACACATTTAAAAATAAAAGTTGGTCGAGATTTACAAGATGATATTCGACGATTAAAAATAATTCGTCAAGAAGTTGGATATGATAGACGTATTATGGTTGATGCTAATCAAGTATGGGATGTTGATCAAGCTATTGAATGGATGAAACAGTTAGTTGAATTTTGTCCATATTGGATTGAAGAACCAACATCACCAGATGATATTCTTGGTCATGCTCGAATTTCACAAGCACTTCAATCATATAATATTGGTGTTGCTACAGGTGAACATGGAATGAATCGAGTTTTATTTAAACAAATGTTACAAGCAAATGCTTTACAATTTTGTCAAATTGATTCATGTCGTTTAGGTGGAGTTAATGAAGTTTTAGCTGTACTTTTATTAGCGGCTAAATTTCATGTACCGGTATGTCCACATGCTGGTGGTGTTGGTTTATGTGAACTTGTACAACATTTATCTATGATTAATTTTGTTGCTGTTACTGGAACATGGGAAAATTGTGTTACAGAATTTGTTGATCATTTACATGAACATTTTGAAGATCCTTGTATTATTAAAAATGGACGATATGTCACACCAAGTCGACCAGGTTATAGTACTCAAATGAAAGAAAATAGTCGACAACAATATTCATTTCCGAATGGACCTATTTGGAAAACAAATACATAAAATTTCTTTTTCGTTTTAAAATTAAATTTTTTTTCATAACACCAATTTATTCTTTGATTATTTTATCTATCATGTCAACAATTCCATTATGCTATAAAATAAATAGGTCACATTATGTATTGAGACATAGTTTTTTTCATATAAAATTGAGTATGAAATTTCATCTTATAATTCATTGCTTTGATGGTATATCAATATTTATATTCTCTTTCATATAAATATACGGATCTATTTTATTCAGAGATGCGTGGGTCATGATGTTTTCTGCTTCTGACGTTCGCCTACACAATGTTCTACTTCTGATTTTGAAAATTGTTCACGCAGCCTCAGTTTTTCTAGGATTCAATCACTCTGCGCTTTTCCTCCCCCTGTAGAGTTCTTCGAGTCTAAAATTTTTGAATCAGGATCGGATACGGTCTAGGTCCGTAATCAAGCCAACAAACTCTACCCGCCTGTCTTCCAGTGTTGAGTTAAACCTCAGATGTTTGTTTTTGAATGAAACACTCTTTCAAATTTCGACAGAATTTCACAAAAAATATGTTTATATGTTTTGTTTGCTGTAGATATTACTGGACATAATCCTTTTGTAGTCTATTTTGTTTTTGAGTTTGCTTTAATAAATAAAAAGTCTTTTTATGACCTCCTTGATCCAACATTGTTTATATCAAATTGATTATTTTCTTCTATTTGTTACTCTATGTATTAAGATTTACTGTTCAATCCAAATTTTCTAAATATGATCTAGATTTGATTTACTTATTCTTACTAAAATTAAATAAATTTCGATATCTTTCCTAGGAAATATTACGAAGAATTGATTGTTAGTTATTTGATGATTAATGTATGAGATTCACGAATAATTTCTTCTTGTTCTTTATGAAACTTCCAAAAACTAAAAGATACTTCGTTTATATAAGATGAAATTTTAATCAAATCTTAGTCTTACGTGAAAATGATTTAATTACATTGAGAAAACATATTTTTCTTACGAAGAAAAAATATCACATACATGGAAAGAAAACAAAAAGGACAATAGGCATTTTTTTTTTACTTAATTAGATGTTTTAGGTTGCATTTTTTTTAAAGATATCATACTGATTAAAATAAATGACGTGTCTGATTCGTTCGATTGTTTCTCTCCATTATTGTCCTCAGCTCGTATATTTATCTCACAAATACATTCTTGGATTATTTCTTCTGAAATTTCATACTTTTATCGAATGAAAGTTTGTTAAGAAAATTATAAATGCGTCTTTTGTATTAATATAAAACTGAAAATGAAACTTGTTGTTTTTTGTTATGATTTTTCTTTTGAGTATCATAGTACCTTCAGCATTTCTCCAGCACCTTGCAACAAAATTTGATGTTCGGCAGCTGCATTCATGCTCTTGAGAAGAATACAAAAACAAAACTGTGATGAAATTTCTAATGACAAAAGATTCTAATACATTTTTATCGAAATATCAAGGACTTTTCCTTTATAATAATAAACAGAAAAACTGATAAAATGTTTGTGTCAATCTTGAAAAATTTCTATAACTTGAAGATGTTTTTTTAGAGAGGAACATGCTGAAAATATATTGATTGACCAAAAGGAAAAAGAGGATTAAAAACTCGATTGCATGACTTCCAAAGATCTCTATAGATCAATTATTGATTATTATCAGATTGTTCTGGCTGTCTATTCAAATTCTCATATATACATATGCTGCCATTGTTTCTCTTTGGAGCATAACTAAATTGTTTTCTTAATATATTAAGTATATTAACATGGAAACAAAAAAACATGCTTAAAGGAACAAAATAAAATGCAAATTTAAGTATTTCATAAACAAATATTACAAATACTTTGAAATAATTACAGAATATGATTTTTCATATTTTAACATTAAATGCAACTAGAAATCTTACAACGATTTTTCTACCTAAAAGCAGGATATATGTAGATTTTATACACAAAGACCTTGTCTACCTAATGGTGGATGTACCATTCCATTCTATTGCATACGATGAAAAAAAGTTCAATTAGAAATGTAAACATTTTTAAGGCAGTTCTTCCTATATAAAATTCAAAATCATGTAAAATTAATGCAAAGTATAAGCAATAATCGGTACGACACCAACTTTAACAATAGACACATCATTTAATAGATACAGTCATTCGTTACAAATCGACATATATTTCATTCTTAAGTCAAAACCTTATTGTTACTTTTTTGTTATTCCATAAGAACAATTTTTTATTTAAAAAGCATTCATCATCATGTAATGAATAGTTGAGTAGATACTGTGACTTCAATAGTTGGATATGAGTCTGATTCTTCTCTTCATCCATACGAACACTTGTTTTCGAAAAAACAAAACGATTTGAGGATTAAAAAAGAAGATTTTTAGGGTTTTGACAGCCCAGAAATAATGCTGACATCAGTCTTTTAGGACTTCTCAGCTCAAAATTTTGAAAGTTAAACATATTTTCATGTAAATATACTCACTAAAGTTCTAATATTGAGAAAAATTAATTAATTAATGAAAGTCTTTAATTAGGTCCGAGACATCGCTTCCCTAAGGATGTCTTCTATTGGAGAGAAGAATTTACATCTGGAAATATAATCAAAGAAAGACAGAAAATTTTCAATAAAAATTCATCAATTTTAAAAGAATTTATCATTTGTAATTTTATCAGGACGTGTTGTCTTGATTAATTTCATGTAAGTGATGCATAAGAATAGTAATCGTTTATAAATAACATGTCACCTTAAAAAAAAACGAACTATAATCAATGTGAAAAAAAAACATTTCAATTTCGACATCTCAATAAAGGATGAAATATTTCTATGATAGAAACGTGCTCGTTGCAGTTTTTATGAATACTATGATTACAGGCTTTCATTATGAAAAAACTGTGTATATTCATCAAAGGAAACAAACTCAACTTATCGTTATAGATTCTGCAAAGAAAAAAACAGAAATAGCTACAATTTAGACATATAAAAAAAAAGTGACTATTTGTTTTGTCATACTGTTCGATAATTATTTTTTGGCATAGTCAAACAAATTTTTGAAAATTTTACAGTAAATGAATTTATTCAACATCCTGTTAAATAAATAAATTTGAATAAAACTTTTACAGTTTACACATAAATATTTGAAATAAAAAACACATTAACTGAATATAGAGTAACATTTACTTTTCAGATACTAATTGCAAAGTCTTCTATTTCAACCTTAGGGGCAACAACTCTCATGCGTATTCTGATACTTGTTTTATATAAAATACTCATCTGAAAATTAAAACAATTATTTTTCTTGTTTTAATGATGATGTCCTTTTTGCAACGTTAAAAATAATCATTTATTTAAATAAATATTTCAATTGAAACGAAGTTCTATTTTGTACAGATGAATTCGTATAACACTTTAAATTTTCAAAAATTCATATAAAAGACTAGAATTCGTACACTGATATAATGAAATGAGAAACATCTATTCTATATATTAGTTTTTCCGATCGAAAAGAATCATTCTTGGTTAAAACTAAGTATTCGTTTTGCGAAAACCAACGATGAGAAAAGAGTTTTGTTGTCTTTTATCATATTTCGAACATTAATATGTTCCTTAAAAACAATGAAAACGATACTAATGTAATCAAAAGTTAAACTACAATCTGACATCTTAAGATCACCTTCTATTATTATCCAACCTGTAAAAAAATGCACTTTTCAGTGAATTTAAGAACAAAATCACTTATTGCATTATTGTAATGCTTTTTTGATAGCTTTTTAAAGGAAAAAGATGCCGTAAAAAGATATCTTATCATCCTGAAGTGAAGTCTTACGGGGAAACCCATTCGACTGATAATATTCGTTTGACCTCATATTTTGCTCATAGTGTAGATCAAAACCCTGAAAGAGTTCGTGCTATTAGGCCTTTCTTCTTGAGTTATGATCGTTTCAGTCTATTGCAGAATATTGCAAGAAAAGTCGCGGCAAAGGGTTTCAGTCTGAAATTGTTTCCAACCTAAGCTCTCATACTCGGGTCCACAAAAATTGGTCGAACGAAAAATAGTCGAAAACTTCTTAATTAAGAAAAAAGAATCTTTCAATAAGAGCGACAGCAGTGTAAAAAATAAATTAATATCAGTATATAATCTGTCACTGGTACTTT